GGTCCTTTGCTTTTTGGAGTCCTTGGTTATGGTGTCTGATTGGACGAGCTCCCACCCTCCCCTCCCAGCGCTGAGTGTGGGCTGCGCTTCAGCAAGATGGATTCGGGTTCACCCCGCTGGGGGACTGCGGTAATATGACCATATTCCCGAGGTGCAGAGGAAGCAAGGTTTAGAGCCACCACTGAGACGCAGTCTACTTCTTCTGCACCTATAATCTGGGGACTCCAGAGACAGGAAAGAAAGGGGGGAGGCAGGGCTGGTGTTTGGCATCAGGGGCTCTTTGCTGGAGCGAGGACTCCCTCAGTGACTTCATCCAGCCCTTTGTCGTCGTAGGTACGGGATCGCAGGAACCGTGAACGTGACGGGAGATGAAGTGAAGAAACTGGACGTGTTATCCAATGCCCTGGTGATCAACATGCTCCAGTCCTCCTACAGCACCTGCGTCCTGGTCTCAGAAGAGAATAAAGAGGCGATTATCACCGCCAAAGAGAGGCGGGTGCGTCCTGGGGCTGCAGTGCCCCTGCCAAACAGCAGATGGTGCTACGGAGCTGGGAAGAGTGTGTCTTGCTTTTCTGCAGTTGCTGGGATTTTCCTCTGTATCTTACATTTGTTTTGGGGAATCCAAGGGTTGCACACTTCTTTGGTTGGAAGTCTTATGCTGACTAGTTAAAGAATACTCCATAGCAGGGCAGTGGTTCATTCAAGGAATAAGTCGGAGTGATTTAGGAGTGCCTAGCAGTAGGGGGCTCTCCATGGCTGCTCACTTAGTGTGCCAGTAACAGGTGCCGGCACCTTTGGGGCTGGACCTTGTGGAATCCAGTAAAGAGTAGAGCTCCTGGGAAGAGCTGCACCAGACAGCCTCTTATTCTCCCTCCCCCTTCTGGTCTCTGCCCCCACCCCCACCCCACACTTCCCAGAGGGGGTTGTGGGCTCAGCAGAGATTTCTTCCTGCCTGACCAACTGTCAGACTAATATGGAAAAGAAATCATGAAGATCCTGTGCTCTTGCCTTGATGCAATGGTGATGGTGGTTAGTGCAGGGCATGGCTGGGGCGGGGCCGTGTTCTCTGTGGGTTCATGAACAGCCCTTCACGGAGAGTGTTTTGCCAGTGGCCAAAAAATCCCACCGATGTTCAGCTGCAATAGAGAAATAGAACACAGCTGCTGGGGCGTTGCCCTTCTTTCATACACTAGGCCCTGGGGACAGGGGGCCATTTCTTTGTGATTAGCTGGAAGGATGGAAAAGGTAAGTAAAGTCAAATTTATTAAGCCCCTACTGTATGCCAGGTAACATGCAAGGCACTTTTACACCAGTGTCACATAATTAAAGCTAAATTACACCTGTTATTTTCAACTTTCATTTTCACCTGATATGACCCTCCTTTCTGTCTCAGTCTAACCTACACAGGTCCTCATGCTAGTTCTTGAATACTCCACACCCGCTCATCTCTCTGCCCGAAATTCCCCTCCCTGGTCCTCTGTGTCTTCATTCCTCAATTCCAGTCAGGCCCCTCATCAAGGGTTACCCCCTGCTGCTCCCTACCCCCCACCCTGCTTGGGGCACTAACCACAAGCTGCTGTGCGTGGAGCCTGCGCTCTGTCCCCTCTGGAGTGTCAGTTCCATGGTTTTCCCCTCGAAACCTCGATATCTGGAACATTCCAGCATATGCTAAATGCTCAACAAACATCTGTTGAATGAATGCATGAATGAGTGATTGGGCTAAGTTGGATTATTTGTACAGAGGCTGGGGAATTTCTCAGTTTATGGATGATTCCAGTTTTTTCCCCTCCCTTTGGCTGAGCAAAAAAAGAAACAAAAATAAAGCTCAGACAAAGCTGGGCCATTCCTCACTGGAAAGTCAGGGAAACTAATTTGGGTGGAGGGAGAAAGGCCTCCCACTTTACTCGAGGTTTTGTTCCCAGAGTCCAAGTAACCAGGCGACTCTGATGCCGTCACTGAGGGCTCTCTCAGGCCCTTGCCCACGGGAGGCCCGTGTAAAGTATCTGGAGATTTCCTTCCATGGAACGTTGGCCGGAGCTGCCTGTGACAGCAGAGTGGGCGGCTGTGCGGGACGTGGGTCTCCTAAGACCGCGCCCACTCTGTCTTCTTGTCTTCACGTTGCGCGGGAGGGTTGGATGCAGCAAAATCAAAGGAGTGTTCTCATTCTCCTGATGTCTTTGTGCGCACCAGCCGTCTCAGGAGACAGACCCCGAGGCCCTGGGAATGTTGTTCTGAGATTTTCTGAAGTCTTTTGGCAAAAATGCTCCAAGATGAAAAAAAAAAGAAACAACAAAAAACAAAAGACCTGTCTGGGGACAGGCCCGGAAAGACTGATCCCTAAGCCCATGGCTGCCCTTACAGTGGACATGAGTGGCGCTGGCCCTGGGCATCTTTGAGTGGTGGCCCAAGCTCATCTTCCACTTGCCGCCTCTTCCCTGCAAGGTGCCAATTCCGGACCTGGGTTCCTGCCACATCCTCAGCAGCTCTGAGCCCTGGTGGGCCCAGGTGGGAGGGAGGGTGGAGCCAGAGCAGGCTAGGGAGGAGAGCCGTTGGAGGGGTGGGTCCTCCAGCACCCCGTGCAGCGTCAACCAATCTGTGCAGGGCAGGGCGGGCCCTGACAGACGGCAGGAGTCCTGTGTGCTGGTGCCCTGCCCTCCACAAGCAATGGCACTTTTTGGCAAGGATATGCCGTGGCTTATATCTCTTTCTGGTGTGGTGTTGTCTGCCACGCACGGCCCTGACACAAAGCAGTTGTGCTGAGGGGAAGATGTTCTGACCAGTGGCTCTTCCCTCTGTGATTTAGGGGAAGTACGTAGTCTGCTTCGACCCACTGGACGGATCTTCCAACATTGACTGCCTGGCCTCCATCGGAACCATATTCGCCATCTACAGGAAGGTGAGTAGACAGGCTGCCATTTCATGCCTCCTTGTGGTGGTTTCTGGAAGGTTCCTGTGCTGAGGGCCTTCCTTGAGTTTGGAGTTCTAACATCTCTGCTCCCACTAACTAGAAACACCACCGTAGGCAAACCATGAACTTCTCTCTGCCTCAGCCCCCTCAGTGGAAGAACTGAATTGGGAATTCTCTCTGTTTCTACTTCCCAGCATTCCTGGGAGGGTAAAGTGGAGGGATTGACGGGACCTTGTTTTGAAAGTCTGGATGCAACACAAACTCGGACATGGTATTAGGTCCCAGGTGGCAAGTGGGGACTCTGTTTGTCTTTGTGCATCTCAGCTCCTACTGTATTAGTTTTCTGTTGCTGCTGTAACAACTTTCCACACGTTTAGAGGCTTAAAACAATGCTCCTGTTGATTATCTCCCACTTCCGTAGCCAGAGGTTGAGCAGGCTTGGCTGGGTTCTCCGCTTAGGGTCTCATGAGGCCAAAATCAAGGTGACAGCCAGGCTGGCCTCTTGTCAAGAGGCTCCAGGGGAATTTGTTTTCCGGCTCCTTTAGGCGGTTGGCAGAATTCAGTTGCAGTCTGAGGTAGGATCGAGGTCCTCATTTCTTTGCTGGCTGTTGGCCGGGGTCCTTCTCAGCTTCTAGAGGCTGTGGTATTCTGTGGTTTGTGAACCTTCATTTTCAAAGCCAGTAAAGGGCAGTGAAGGCAACACTTTGTCTCATGTTCCCTGCCTCCAACCACAGAAAGTTCTCTGCTTTTAAGGGCTCATTTGATTACACTGGACTAATCCAATCCGGATAAACCAGGGTAATCTCCCTAGTCCATCACCCCGATCATTGCATCCGCAAAGTCCTTTCTGCCGTATGGTGCTATAGATGCATGGATTCCGGGGATTAGGGCGTCTTTGGGGCCGTTTTGCCTACCCCAGAATCCTAACAGAGAAGATCATATGGGTTGGCTTGTGACTATCCAGCATGACTAGAAACTTCACGACAGACCACGCAGTCCAGAGGATACGGTTTGGCTGTGCCTGCATTTGGGAATCAGACCTTGATCCGACCGCGAAGGCTGAGCCTTTGCCCTTGAGGCTTTCAGGCAGAAGGAGACCAGGGGTGCTTGGGGGTCTCTTGGGATGTTCCTGGGTAACCCGCCCTCAGGTAAAGGGCTGGGCTGGCTGTAGAGACTCATCTCTCTGGCCCCAACGCACATGCTCTCCCCACTCAGCTACTTAGGACAACAGGAGTGAGGCAGCACTTGTTTTCTGTACTACCAGTTTGGCGTTGATTACGTAATGTCTGTGTGATTAGCTTTCCATGTGTGTCTTTCTTAGTGCTCCTTCTAGATTATAAACTCACTGGAGGGCTAGCTATGCCCCTGTCACCTGGTCTGTAGGTATTCATAGTGCCGTACATATGTGTGCTGGGCTGATTGTTGTCCCAGAAAGGGGATGGGATAGAATGCAAATTTTAGTAGCAACCCATCAAAAGCTTAGCAGAAAACAGCCTTAGAAGAACATGTGAATTAGCGTAAACTCTCTGAGAAGGAACCCAAGGAAGCAGGGAGTGTTATTCACGCCTCTCTTGGAGGAAGAAACAGAAGCCAAGCCAGCCTCAGTTGGAGGAAATCTCGGGAAGTTTTGCCTTCCCTGTTGGTGTCTCTTCTTTTGTGGAGGAAGAGAGAAAAGGAGACTTTTGCTGAGGGAGAAAATGACACAAGACCCTTTCTCTGGTATCTGACAAAGTTGAAGACTGAGATGTCTCAAGTTAAGCAAAAATGAGGTAGGTGAGTGAAGGAGCTTTGCTTAGCCTTTTGAGGTACAGTTTAGAGGTAAAAGAAGGAAATAGTGTAGTATTTATGCAAATCTGCAAAAAGGTCCCCAGTTGCATCTTTGAAGTGGCTTTACTTATTTTTTAAATTTTTTAAATTTAATTATTATGGGTACCTAATAGTTGTATATCTTTATAGGGTACATGTGATGTTTTGATACAGACATACTATGAGAATTAATCAAATCAGGGTAATTGGGGTATCCGTCACCTAAGGCATTTATCCTTTCTTTGTGTTAGGAACAGTGCAATTCCACCCTTTTAGTTATTTTAAAGTATACCCTAACTTACTGTTGATCATAGTCATTTTGTTGTGATATCAAATAACTATATAACTATATTTTTACACCCATTAACCATCCCCACTTTATCCTGCTCCAACCTTCCCAGCCTCTGGTATCTGTCATTCTACTCTATCTTCATGAGATGAATTATTGTTAATATTTAGCTCCCACATATGAGTGAGAACATGTGAGGTTTGTCTTTCTGTGCGTGGCTTATTTCACTTAACATAAGATTTTACAGTTCCATCCCTATTGTTTCAAATGGTAAGATTTCACTCTTTTTGTGGCTATATAATATTCCATTATGTATATGTACCACAATTTCCTTAGCCATTCATCTGTTGATGGACACTTAGGTTGATTCCATGTTGGCTATTGTGAATAGTGCTGCAATAAACATAGGGGTGTGGATATTTTTCCATATACTGAACTCCCCTTCTTTGGATATGTACCCAGCAGTGGGATTGCTGGGTCATATGCTAGTTCTATTTTAGTTTTTTGAGGAATCTCCATACTGTTCTCCACAGTCTACAAGGGTTCCCCCTTCTCCACATCCTCACCAGAATTAGTTATTGCCTGTCTTTTTGATAAAAGCTATTTTAACTGGGGTAAAAGGATATCTCATTGTGATTTTCATTTGCATTTCTCTGATGATGAATGTTGTTGAGTATTTTTTCATATACCTGTTGGCCATTTATATGTCTTCTTTTGAGAAATGTCTATTCAGATCCTTTGCCCATTTTTTAATCAGATAATTTGATATTTTTCCTATTGAGCTGTTGGAGCTCCTTAGATATTCCTGTTATTAATCCCTTGTCAGACAGGTAGTTTGCAAATATTTTCTGCCATTCTGTAGGTTGTTTCTTTGTTGATTGTTTCCTTTGTCGTGCATAAGCTTTTTAGCTTGATGTGATCCATTTGCCCAATTTTGCTTTGGTTGCCTGTGCTTTGTGGGGTATCACTCAAGAAGTCCTTGCCGCCGGGCGTGGTGACTCATGCCTGTAATCCTAGCACTCTGGGAGGCCGAGGCAGGCGGATTGTTTGAGCTCATGAGTTCAAAACCAGCCTGAGCAAGAGCGAGACTCCGTCTCTACTAAAAAAATGGAAAGAAATCGGACAACTAAAAATATATAGAAAAAATTAGCCGGGCATGGTGGCACGTGCCTATAGTCCCAGCTACTCGGGAGGCTGAGGCAGGAAGGATTGCTTGAGCCCAGGAGTTTGAGGTTGCTGTGAGCTAGGCTGACGCCACGACACTCTAGCCTGGGCAACACAGTGAGACTCTGCCTCAAAAAAAAAAAAGTCCTTGCCAAGACCAATGTCCTGAAGTATTTCCCCAATGTTTTCTTTTAGTGGTTTCACAGTTTCAGGTCTTAGATTTACATTTTTAATGCATTTTGATTTGATTTTTGTATATGATGAGAAATAGAGGTCTAGTTTCATTCTTCTGCATGTGGATATCCAGTTTTCCCAGCACTATTTATTGAAGAGACTATCCTTTCTCCACTGAATGTACTTGGCACCTTTGTGGAAGATAAGTTCCTAGTAGATGTGTGCATTTATTTCTGGGTTGTCTATTCTGTTGCATTGGTCTATGTGTCCATTTTTATGCCAGTACCAAGCTGTTTTGGTTACTATAGCTCTGTAGTATAATTTAAAGTCAGGTAATGTGATTCCTCCAGTTTGGTTCGTTTTGCTCAGGATGGCTTTGACTATTCTGAGTCTTTTGAAGTTCCATATAAATTTAGAATTATTTTTTCTATTTCTGTGAGGAATGTCATTGGTATTTTTTTATTTCAGCATATTACAGGGGTATAAATGTTTAGGTTATATATATAGCCTTTGCCCCACCCAAGTCAGGGCTTCAAGTGTGCCCATCCCCCAGATGGTGCACACTGCACCCATTAGGTGTGTATATACCCATCCCCTCCATCCCCCTCCCACCTGCCTGACACCCAATGAATGTTACTACTGTATGTACACTTAAGTGTTCATCAGTTAATACCAATTTGATGGTGAGTACATGTGGTGCTTGTTTTTCCATTCTTGTGATGCTTCACTCAGTAGAATGGGCTCCAGCTCTATCCAGGAAAATACAAGAGGTGCTATGTGCTATATCACCATTGTTTTTTATGGCTGAGTAGAACTCCATGATATACATATACCACATTTTATTAATCCACTCATGTATTGATGCCCACTTGGGTTGCAATTGTGAATTGTGCTGCTATAAACATTCAAGTACAGATGTCTTTTTTATAGACTGTCTTTTTTTCCTTTGAGTAGATGCCCACTAATGGGTTTGCTGGATGAAATGGTAGTTCTACTTGTAGCTCTTTGAGGTATCTCCATATTATTTTCCACAGAGGTTGTACTAGTTTGCAGTCCCACCAGCAGTGTATGACTGTTCTTATCTCTCCACATCCACCCTAACATTTTTTGTTTGGGGACTTTTTCATAAATGTCATTCTCACTGGAGATAAGTGATATTTCATTGTGGTTTTGATTTGCATTTCCCTGATGATTTGAGATGTTGAGTGTTTTTTCACATGTTTGTTGGCTATTAGTCTATCTTCTTCTGAAAAGTTTCTGTTCATGTCCTTTGCCCACTTTTTGATAGGGTTGTTTGGTTTTTTCTTGCTAATTTTCCTGAGTTCTATATAGATTCTAGTTATCAGCCCTTTATCAGATGTGTGGCATGTGAATATTTTCTCCCATTCTGTAGGTTGTCTGTTTGCTCTTACGATAGTTTCCTTGGCTGTGTAGAAGCTTCTTAATTTGATCAGGTCCCATTTATTTATTTTTGTTCTTGCTGTGATTGCCTTTGGGGTCTTCTTCATAAATTCTTTGGCTAGGCCAATGTCTATAGGAGTTTTTCCAACATTTT